CGCCTGTGTTGAAGTTTTGGTTATTAACTGTTAAAAATAGTCAATAACTTTTATATTCATGCTCTTATTTTGAAGTAGGTGGATGCAGCAGGTCAGTTTCCTGTTGACTCTTTTTTCTCTCTTTCAACAGGAAAAGAAATGAGACTAAAGAGCAAAACATAGACATCAGTACAATGTCTAAGGGAACTGCAGAAAATACAAGTTGTGTGTGAATTGAACTGATCGCTTAGCGCTTTAGCATTAGCTGCTGCTAACGTTACTGGGTGCTTGATGGCCGACTGATTTACACATTGTTAGTGTGTCAGATAGGCGGGGCCTCCTTAATAAGTTGTTGCCTTTTATTTTGGTAGACATGTTAATGCAAAGCATCCGTTAACCATGCTAACTTATGTTTGCTTTGCAGCAGAAGTGGAAAAAAACGAAGAAAGAGAGTGAAGAGACAGTCCACCGCAGCAGCATCAAGTGAGGATGATGAAACCGAAGACAGCGAGGACGACATCGTTCAGAATAATGCGAAGTCCTCCAAAGTGTCGGGTCTGGAGCCCGTTGTGCCCAAAAGCAGTGCAGCTAGAGATCCTGTGGAGGAGACGGACAAACATCCCAACCCAACGCCAAACACCCAGACGGACGATGAGCGGACGGACGACAGCGAGGACGAAAATTACCACAAAAATCCTCTGGTTTGCAAGCTCTCGCTCGCTCTTCTGCAGCCGGGGTCGTCTGGGCAAAGCTCAGAGCCCAAGGTGAAGCTTGAACCTGTGGATCCGCCTGTGGAGCCGACGGGACAGAAACATTCAGGCGAGGCGGCGAACAGCCAGGTAGAAGATGAAGAAACGGAGGACAGTGAGGACTACGATGAGTGTGAAAGCATAGAGTCCTCCCGGCTGTCGTCTTTTTTCCCCATTAGGCCAGAAAATGAAATGGAGCAGAACACCAGCAAAAAACACGAGAAGACGAAGAAGGAGAAGAAGAAAGACGTCAAACTTCCACTTGGATCAATAAACCTGAGGATCAAAGAGGTGGAAACCATCGATATTGAGGATGATGATGATGGAGACAAAGCTGCTTCACAGCCTCAGCTGTCCAGTCAGGATGCAAAGCAGCAGAAGAACAGAACAGAAGACGGAAATGAAGCAGCAGTGAACGCCATCAAGAACACGGAGCTGGTGGAGATAGTTGATAGTGACAATGGAGACGGAGAGAAAGACTCAAAGTCCTCCAGCTTATCGACTCCAAAGCCTCAGAGATCTGACAGAGACTCGCAGCAAACCAACACAGAGGCAGGGAAGCTGTTGGAGAATAAAACTCCCAGGCCTTCAGCTGCAAACACAAGCAGCAGTTTGCCTCCATCTAATAAACCTCAGCATCTGTGTGAAGTGTGTCGGACGTACCACCAGTCCAAGAGGATCCTGGTCAGACACGTGGAGCCACGTCAACAACCCGGGCTTCCTCTGCGGGGTCTGCCGGGAGCGCTTCGACTCCTCGGCCTCACTGAAGAACCACCTCCGGACTCACGCCAAGACCTACACCTGCAGCGTCTGCGGGAAGTCTTTCCTCAGCAAAACGGGCTTCCGGGGACACATGGGTCGACACACAGGTAACGCACAGGCCTGACGCCAGAGGCTTTCTGGTAAACAAGACCAACCTCGTAATATTCATTAAAACATATTAGCAGAATCACAGTGATGAGAAAAATATTCTAATTAGAAAAAAGAATATTTTCATTTTATCGCAGTTCGATGTGAACTTCTGATGAAATTATAACTTCATGCTAAAGAACAAAACAAACCAAAAAACGTCCTTGTTTGGTCTGATTCTCCATCATCAGTGACTGAAACTCGTAGAGAAAAGCCAGAAAAAAACAAGTTTTTCACTGCAAATGCAAAATGTTCTGCAGCTTTTCAGTTCCTCTGACAAGTTTAAAGATAAACAATGTTGTTCCAAATTTGTTGATGATAAAAAGCTAAATACCTTTTGAAAAAGAACAAGCTGAAAAGCAGACAAGTTTAAACAGTTTGAATGTTTTGAAACAGTTCAGCGAATCGTTTGGTCTTTTTCACAGACTGAGCGCTCGCTCAGTTTGAAACGTTAAAAAGAAAACCGATACTGAGCAGCAAACGGAAAACAAGTTTAGGAAAAATATCAGAAAACGTCACAAACTGGATTCAGAAACTGAAGTTTGAAATTATATATTAAACTACTGACATTCTGAGTCAATTTGTTATTTTATAATTTGGTAGAAAATAATTGAGAAACTGAGTTAAACCTTGAAATCATTATAAAATTTAAAGCTACATTTAAATCTGTTTAGGTCAGAATATGAAACGACATCCGCCTGCAGGGGGCGTCCTGCAGGGGCGTCCTACCTGCAGGGGGCGTCCTGCCAGCAGGGGGCGTCCTGCCAGCAGGGGGCGTCCTGCCAGCAGGGGGCATCCTGCCAGCAGGGGGTCCTGCCTGCAGGGCGTCCTGCCAGCAGGGGGCGTCCTGCCTGCCTGTCAGGGGGCGTCCTGCCAGCAGGGGGTCCTGCCTGCAGGGGGCGTCCTGCCAGCTGCATCCTGCCTGCAGGGCGCCCCCTGCAGGGGCAGCAGGGGGCGTCCTACCTGCCTGAGCAGAAGTGACCTGAAGCCAAAGACCAGAACCTGGACGTCGCCTGCAGAGGAAACCTGCGTCCCCTCAGGAAAAAGAACCATAAAACTGGAGCAGCAACGTCTGAATATGAGCTCATGCTGCTGCTGTTCAGCTGTCAGCAACATCCAGGTACAAAATATCAGAACCAGAACCACCCGCAGTTCTGAGAACCAGAACTCGGGTGGTTCTGGTTCTGGTTAAAGAAGGAAACGTGTTTTGGGTCTCTGTGTTTCTGTTACGTCTGATTTGTTCCGTTCATGTTTGAAGTTCTGCTGCTGCTCGTCGTTTCCGTGTTGAAACTGAGACCAAATTGCAGATTTTGGTTCGAAGCTCCGGCTTCTCATCGCTCCTCCTCCTCCTCACACTCGGGACGTTTCTTAATAAAATGTGACAAAACGGTTTCTGCAGAATTTCCTGAAGTTTTTAAGTTTTATAAATGTTTTATATTTTTAGGGGAATTTCTGAAAACCATTACTTTTTTACGTTCCCAGGTTGTTTTGAATTCTATTTGAATTGTTAATATTTTGAATAAATCCTTCAATTTTTTATTATTGTATTTCTGCCTCACTGTGTGATCTTTTATTCGGTTGAACAGTTTCCTGCACCACAACAAGTGATGCAGAAATGACGGCACAATTATTCACAGTTACATTCTCAGTTATCACACTGTGCAAGCTGTTGTGTGTAAATATAAAATATTATAATCAGGGTTGAAATGTGTCAAAGCCACATCTTGGAGCCAACTTGCATTTCTGTGAATGGGAGTGTTGGGTGAAGCAGCCATCAGAGGCCTGATCAGCCAATCAGAGGCTGCACTGCACTGACAGTAATAACAAAGTTTTTTTCTACTCATTACAGAAGGACGATAAGGAAATAAATTCATCTTATTTCGATATGAGACATTCTTTCAATTAATAAACAAATGCAAAACAACAGAATGCCTGAGATTTTTTAGTCAAGTGGAAAGTGTTGGTAATATTAGTTTAATGATGCTATTTTCAGTTATGTTTAACTTTAGCGCATGTTTAAATGTAAGACGGATCCTGATTGGATTCAGACTCAGTTTAATTGATACATAACTTAATCAGTAGAACAATTTTATTAAATATGATCATGATTTGATTAGAATCGGCTTAATCAGTAGTTTTTCATATTAGATCACATTATTAAGCGTATAAATCATAATCATCTGAAATGTTTTTGTTGTAACCAAAGGATTTGGAAACTAATCCAAATATTGAGTGTAAAAGATGTTTTGGTATTGAAACTGATCATGTCTTTTTATCAGAGTTTGAAGATGTTATATGAAATGATGCTCATTTTTAGTCTGCTGTTTGATGCCCTGGGTCAGGGGTCAGAGGTCAGGAGAGCTCTGGGTTCAGGAACCAGTTTGAAATGAGATGGTTGATAATTATTGTTGGATCCCTGGCAGGATGATCTGGATTCATCCAGATGATCTGCCAGGATTCATCCAGGTCAGGATTCATCCAGACCTGCAGCTTCATCCAGGTCTCTGACACGACGCATCACATAAACACCTGGATCGAAAAGTAATTGATCTAAAATAGCCAATCAGATCACTGGGTGGAACTGTTAACTTTTTCTATTTTTCTAAGGTATCTCATTTCTTCGTGTGGTTTCGGTTTATGATGATTATGTTGAGCTGTTGGTGTGATTTTATGATTGACTGAATAAGATTCTGGGTGTTTGTGAAGTTGAACAGTGATTCTTTCACATTTACACACAAAAGACAAGATAACAACGAGCAACAGGTGAAAAATAGATTAGTTTTTCAACCAGAGGAATAAAGAAAAGATTTAATTAAGTCGAGAACAGAGATTCTATTTAAAAATTAGGTTAAATTTGGACAAATTAAGAATTAAATATATATTTTTTAGAGAAGTATCTAATAAACTTGATTTAAATAAACCAAATGAATGTATGAATTACATGTTTTAACTGTTTTTTTAGTTTAATTCTGGTGATAAACGTTTAAGGTCTAATTTCGGCTGCAGCTCCAGAGGCGAACACAAGATGGCGCCACTGCTCCTTCCTGTCAGTTTTCAGCCGTTACGTGTTTCCGCCCCAAGCACCGGAAGTAGATCCGTCCAACGGCCATCCAGAAGTTTTTGACACAAACAGAGGAAAACCAGGATGTTTTACTGCAGCAGCGGCGGTTCCGATCCACTCAACATGTCCAAGAGCGGCATCCTGAGAGGAATCATCACCGAGAAGCTGAGCACCGCGGCCCGGGAGATCCTGGCGGTGGTGGAGCGAACCGTGGCCGACTACGAGCAGGAGGCGTCGAGCTTCAGACGGGAGATCGACCGCAGCGGCGGCAGCTGGAGCTGCTGCAGCCGCAGGTCCGGCTGGACCGAGCAGGTCAGTGGCGGCCAGCAGAGGAGCGTGAAGCCGAAGCGGGTCCGGAACCGCAGAACCACAAGCTGCTGGTTGGAGAGGAGCAGCAGAACCCAGGTAGGAGGAGCTGATGGGTTCATGCACCGAACCGAACCGGTCAGAATAAACGTTACTTTATGGAAATCTGGAGTTGATCAGTTGAAAGCAGCTCTGTGACTTTGCACATAAATCCTGCTGCATAGTCAAAGTTCACTGTTTGTGTTTGAAATTTAAAACGAACCAAAACACGTTGATAATGTCGATCAATAAAATGTAATAAATCACCTGATGCGTTTATGGGCAATAAAAATAAATCTGAGATATCAAACAGGAAACAAGATGAATTAAAACCACAATCTGGATTAAATCGAAAACTTAATAAACTGATTTGAATCTGAGATTTAAAAAAAAATCTAAATATTTATTTTGCTAAATATCTCAGAGAGCTGAAACACCTTCTGATATTTTAAGAGAGATAAATATTTAATTTCATTTATTGCTTATTAAATATTTAACTTGCTAAGTTTCGTTTTGGCTGAATATTGAAATCATCTGAATATTTTGATCAAACTTTATTGGAACAGTTCAGAATTTGTCTGTTTATTTATAAACGTTGATCCAGATGTGATCAGGTTTATTGAACTGATGACATTGAGCATCGTCAGGCTGTTTGATTGTTATTGTGGTCCAGATGGGAGGGACTCTGGGAGCCTGGACTTCCTGTGGTACGGTGATGATGACCATGATGAAGACGTTCAGCCCGTGGTTCAGGCGACGCCGCGGTCCAGACCGAAACGGGAGGATCTGACGGACCCAGACTACGAGATATCGCCAAGGTTACAGATCTGTTACTCTGGGGACTAAATGACGGACTGATCCGGAAGAGTTCGGGTTGTTGACGAGTTTCTGACTTTTCCAGGTCATTTCCATCCCGGGTCCGACCTGAGAAGAGGAGAGCCAGTAAACCTCTGAGCTCCATGACCCACCTGGACTTCCGGGTCCGGGTTCTGGACAACCCGGAGACCGAGGTGCTCTCCAACATCGGTACGGTCCAGACGGACCGTCTGCTGGGTTTCCTGAGGGGAAAGCAGCTTGTTCTGAGCTGCAGCTGAAGGTTTGGTTCTGTTTCCAGTGTTTCAGAAGAGTCCCATTCAGAACCTGAGCTGTCCTCGGGATCTGCCGGAGTCGGACTTCCTGGACCTGCTGCGGTCCTCCGTCCCTCAGCTGGCTGCAGGAGAACCGTTCGACCTGTTCATAACCGACACCAGCAGGAAGCTGCACCCGCTGAGGGTCAGCGCGCTGACCCCTGAGGAGATCCACAGAACCATCAGAACCAGCGGGAACTCCGCCCTCTACGTCCGCCTGAAGGTTTCCACTCCCAACCCGTTATCACTGATTCAGCAGAACATCAGGCTGGTTCTGGGTCAGTTTTAGAAGGAATCATCCTGTGAGGTTTTAAGATCCAGCAGGAAAATCCAGGAACTGAAAGGGTTAAACCAAAACGTTACTGACAGAAATCCTGCTTGATGTTGTGCTTGATGGCGGCGACTCAAAGTCATGGCAGGCGGGCGCGCGCGTTGATGTTGCACTAGGTGATGGTGTGTGTGTGCTGAGTTGCTGTGTTTGTGTTCATGATGCCGGTTTTTGCAGTGTCTTCAAAGTAATAATATTTAAACATTCTCGTATTTTCATCCAGTGCCTCTGAACCCGTTTATCATAAACACGCTCTTTCACTTTGTGAACGTTTGCAGACAGCAGTCAGTCCTCAGAGCAGCAGCATCGACGTTCTTCATCAGCTGGATGAGGAGTTGAGCGTCAGCTCCGCAACGCCGTCCAGCGATCAAACCGAGGAGAACCTGAGGTAACCCGGATCCACACTCTGTCCTGCTCTGCTGCCCGGGTTTCCGCCACACGCCTCCTCTGTTCCCTCAGGTTGTCGTCTCCCGTCGATCAGCCTCAGAGGAGGCGGCGAGGCCGACCGCGCGCCGGGGAGGCACCGGCTCACCACCTCCTCAGAGTCTGCGTGTTGGAGGGACACCAGTCAGACGCTCCCACAGAAAGTGGTGAGTTTAAAGCTCTGCTTCGTGGCGGTGAAGCTGCTCCAGCTGAAGTCGTCTCTGTTCCAGAGCTGCAGACGTCGGCGGTGCAGGACCTGAAATGTCCTCGAAGGATGCAGGAGGCTGAGTTCTTGGACCTGCTGCGGCTCTCCTTCCCTCAGCTGGCCGGACACGACAAAAAGATCCACATGTACAAGTCCGACCGCCGCAGGAAGCTGCAGAAGCTCAACATGAACAACCTGACGCCGGAGGAGATCTACAGGAGCATGAGGTCCACCGGGACCAAGAATCCGTCCTCTACGTCAAACTGAAGGTAGGAAAAGTCCTCTGTCTCTGCTGCAGTATGAACAACTCTGCAGAAGATTCAGTGGAAACAAACCAACATTTACTGATGATTGGTTTGGACAGAACAGCCCAACATCTTTGTGTACCTGCTGGCAGAGTGTTAGCGTTAGCTTAGCGCTTTAGCAGCACTAATGTTCATGATTAATGCTTCAGGGTTTTTGCAACTTAACCTTTTAGTCTTTGGTGCTGATTTTGTTCGACCAAAAGTTCTGTCAAGTGAATCAGACATTCGACGGCGTTTTGTGGACAGATCCCTGCAGAGATCCCTGAGGTTCCTGATTGAATCCCGGTCCTGCTGGGTGGATCTGATCAGTCTCTGACCTTCAGGCCAAACTGCCCTGCAGGAAGCAGAAAATGGTCAGAATGAAACTTTGAACTGAACGTTGAAGCATTTGTTGGTTTCCTCCTCAGACAGAAGGCGAGATCCGTGAAAACGAGGAGCAGAACCTTCAGCTCATAAAGGACGAACCTCAGCCCACTGACTGTGTGGTTCTGGAGGATGAAACCGCTCCGCTTCAAAGGTAACCGCTGGCCAGCAGAACCGACCCGTATCGGAGAGAGCAGACCTGTCCTAACTTGTTGCGTCTCTGCAGCCCGGAGGATCTGGACCGCAGCAGAGGGTCGGGGCAGGCGGCTGCGAGCGACGCGGGTTCTGGAGGGGAAATTGAGGCGATGCAAGATGGCGATGATGAGTGGGAACCAAACGCCGAAGATCTGGAGGAAGGCGACGATCCACAGCCGAAAAGAAGGAGCTATAAAGGCCCCAGGAGATTCATGGAGGACGGCAAGGAGAGCAAGGTGCTGTGCCAGGTGTGCGGCGTGTGGTACCGGACAATATCGGGTTTGACCAGACACGCCTGGGCGCACATCGGAGACCCGAAGAGCATCTGCGGGGTGTGTGGAGAGACCTTGAAGTCTGTGGAAGACATGAAGGTACATTTTGAAGTTCACCAAAAGATCCATGACTGTTCGTACTGCGGGAAGGGGTTCTTCACCGCCTCGGGCCTCAAGAACCACGTCTCCCTGCACACGGGGGAGCGGCAGTTCAAATGCAGCCACTGCAGCAAAACCTTCGCTGTCCAGTCCGCCCTGAACGTCCACCTCTGGATCCACGTGGAAGACCGGCCACACAAGTGCGACTTGTGTCCAAAGACGTTTGGACTGAGAGGCCAGCTCACGGCTCACAAGAAGAGTCACGTGAGTCGGGACCGGTACCTCTGCAACGTCTGCGGCCGGTCCGTCAGCGACCTCAGGTCTCTGACTCGCCACAAGTTGACGCACTCAAACGAGCGGCACTACGGCTGCAAGGTCTGCGGGAAGCGCTTCAAGCTGGAGCACACCCTGAAGGAGCACATGAAGGTCCACACCACCAGGGACCGCATGTTCCTGTGCCACATCTGCTGCAAGACCTTCCTGTCCAACAACGCCCTGACGGGGCACATGAAGACCCACAGCGGCGAGCGGCCGTTCGTCTGCATCGTCTGCAACAAGAGCTTCTTCAACAAGTACGACCTGCAGAAACACATGCGTGTTCACACCGGGGAGACGCCGTACGGCTGCTCCCACTGCGGCCGCCACTTCAAGCTCAAGAGCACCCTGAACGTCCACATCCAGAGCCACCTGGGCATCAAGCGCTTCAGCTGCGGCGTGTGCGGCAAAGCGTGTTCTCGACAGGAGCACCTGAACGTCCACATGAGGACCCACAACGGAGAGAGACCCTACAGATGTTCCCTCTGCGACAAAGCCTTCACCCAGAGCCACTGCCTGAAAACCCACATGAAGAACTACCATCCCGACCACGACCTCTACCAAGAACCGTCCACTTCCTTCATCCAGCCGCTGGCCACCGAAGGAATGACTGACGGAACAACCCAATTAACCACAGCTGGAGCGACTGGAGGATCGGCTGAATTAACGACAGACGGAACGACAGACAGACTCTGAGGTTTTTGTCTTTGCTTGGTTTGTTTGTGCCAATTCTGACTCCTGTAAATCTAGACAATAAGCGTCTTAGCAGCTTTACTTTCATAGTTGATTTTTTAATCTTGTTGAAACTGTTAGCCGTTAGCCATCCTCTGGTTAGCGTTGCAGAAGGAGTCGGGTTAAAGGTCAAGGTCGGGCAAAAATCAAGTATCCACTTTAAATATGAGAAAAGAAGTATCCACTTTAAATATGAAAAACCACAGTAATAATCTTTTCTCTGGTTTTCTATTGCTTTAGTTTAACTGTGAAAACTGTCCAGGTTTCATTTTATATCATATTTATTGAGGTTAACGGTTTAATTCAACAAAATGTCCTCAGGGCAATAAAAATGGTTTTCTATCAGAATCTGGTTATTTTTATTTTTTTTATTAGCTTAAAGTGGCTAATTTGCACTAGCATCAACACTCTTCGGTGTGGAAGCTGTTGGAGGGAAACCCAACCAAAGGACTAACACTTTTATCTTTGCTGACTTAGTTTGTAGCCAATACTGTGTCTGTATATCTAGAAAACAAGGATTGCAGCAGCTTAATCTACATCATTGATTTCCTAATTTTGTTGAAACTGCATTTTGCTATCATCTGGTTTGCGTTGCAAAGAAAACATCGGGTTAAAGGTCGAGGTTCAACCTGAACGGGTTAAAATCCAAACAGCATCGTTAGAAAAGAAGAAACAGATTTAATGATGATGTTTTCTCTGGTTTTCTATTGCTTTAGTTCAACTGTGACCATTTGTGTGTTGACAAAAGAAACATTGAAAACATTCCAATTGTATCATTTTTTTATTGTTTTTATTGGTTTATTGTTTCCATATAACAATGGGCAACAACAAATGGTTTCCCACCAGATTCAGGAGATTACTGTAGCTTAAAATGGCTAATCTATGCTAGCATCAACACTGTTTGGTGTGGAAGTTATGGGGAAGAGATGACAGCTATTACAGAGAGTATAGCTTCAGCAGATAACAAGAAGGCTGAGCAGGACAGAGCAAGATTTATTACAATCAATTAAAATACATTTGGAAAAGTTGGCAGCTTTATGGAAGATAGATTAACATTTAGTCATTAATGCTAACTGATTACCATTTAGTCACTAATGCTAACTGATTACCATTTAGTCACTAATGCTAACTGATTACCATTTAGTTAGTAATGCTAACTGATTACCATTTAGTCATTAATGCTAACTGATTACCATTTAATCACTAATGCTAACTGATTACCATTTAGTCACTAATGCTAACTGCGCTAGTTATGCTAAAGGCAAATTTGTTAAACATATCTCGTTTCACCCAGTGTGACGTCTCCTCTGCTCCTGTTGGAAACACGACAGAAAGGCTGTTGGCTAAATTAGCGATGTAGCTAACAGCAAATATAATGCTAGATGCTAACTCAGACCAATTTCAGTCCCTTCCCACCATGTTGTGTTTTTGTACGTTATGAAAAACCAGGACAGCAATAAAAATTACAGCAGAAGAAAACAAATGATAGAATCCAACAGCAGAAATAAGAAAAATAGAACGTAAAGAAAATATTTGGTTTAAATTGGGATTTATGTCAGGAATTATTTCATGGAAATGGGATGAAAACGTTTTAGTCTATTAGCAGATTTTCAGGCTGTTTCTGAGAAATAATTGTTTCCTTTTGCTTTAAGCTTTTCACTGTAACAAAAATACAATTAATTAATTCATGAATAGTTTTTAATAATCTAATGTTCTAACCTGTTCTGTATGTGAAAGAAACAAAAACCTGAACTGAGGTCATCCTGACATTTTTAGGGAAACTAAATGATTTTCTTCTGGTTTTGTTTTTCTGTTGCTTCATGACTAAATGGTGAAAACTGGATCTGATGTTCTGTCCTGTTTTTGTATCGACTCGTTTCAATAAAACACTAAGCTTCTTGAATTTCTACGTTGCTGTTGTTTATCTTTTAAATCTGCTGATGCTAGTGGAAAGATCTCCACTAGCAGTCAGTGTAGCAACTAACCTGAAAAGCCTCTGACTTAAGACAGACTGCTTGACGTGCTAACAGCTAAATATCCGGGCAGCAGAGACAATATTTGGCGATTTAAGTCAAAGATTTTTGTAGTTTTTTTTTTCCAAACTGAGCTGCTTTGATGTCAGCGTCCAGTCGATGGAGACACCTTTGTAGCGCTCACAGACATCGTTTGGCTTTTTACCAAGTAAATAAACGTGGAGATCGATCAGTTCACAGATTTTTTGTCTTACATTAAACTGTCACAACATGAAGACAGTTTTAATAAATATAAAAAAACATTATTTCTAAAAGTTACTGCAGCTTTAAACTTGCTGCAACATTTAACGATTAAAATCCTTGAACTGAGGATTTACAGCCACACAGCCAGTGGATCAACGTTTAAACTCGTATTCTGGCCAGGTTTTGTTGGACAGGTTCAGGGTTTTTTGGAGAGATTCAGGATTTTGGTTCAGGGTTTCGTTGGGGAGGTTCAGGGTTTTGTTGGGGAGGTTCAGGGTTTTTTGGGGAGGTTCAGGGTTTTTTGGGGAGGTTCGGGTTTTGGTTCAGGGTTTTGTTGTGGAGGTTCAGGGTTTGTTGGGGAGGTTCGGGTTTTGGTTCAGGGTTTTGTTGTGGAGGTGCAGGGTTTTGTTGGGGAGGTTCAGGGTTTTGGTTCAGAGTTTTGTTGGGGAGGTTCAGGTTTTTTTGGGGGGTTCAGGGTTTTTTGGGGAGGTTCAGGGTTTTATTGGGGAGGTTCAGGGATTTGTTGGGGAGGTTCGGGTTTTGGTTCAGGGTTTTGTTGTGGAGGTTCAGGGTTTTTTTGGGGAGGTTCAGGGTTTTTTGGGGAGGTTCAGGGTTTTGGAGAAATTCAGGGTTTTGGTTCAGGGTTTTGGTGGAGCAGTTCAGGGTTTTTGTTGGGGAGGTTCAGGGTTTTGGTTCAGGGTTTGGTTCAGGGTTTTGTTGTGGAGGTTCAGGGTTTTTTGGGGAGGTTCAGGGTTTGTTGGGGAGGTTCGGGGTTTTGGTTCAGGGTTTTGTTGTGGAGGTTCAGGGTTTTGTTGGGGAGGTTCAGGGTTTTTTGGGGAGGTTCAGGGTTTTTTGGAGAGATTCAGGGTTTTGGTTCAGGGTTTTGGTGGAGCAGTTCAGGGTTTTTGTTGGGGAGGTTCAGGGTTTTGGTTCAGGGTTCTGGTTCAGGGTTTTGTTGTGGAGGTTCAGGGTTTTGTTGGAGAGGTTCAGGGTTTTGGTTCAGGGTTTTGTTGGAGGTTCAGGGTTTTGGTTCAGGGTTTTTTGGGGAGGTTCAGGGTTGGTTCAGGGTTTTGGTTCAGGGTTTTGTTGGAGAGGTTCAGGGTTTTGGTTCAGGGTTTTTTGGGGAGGTTCAGGGTTTTGGTTCAGGGTTTTTTGGAGGTTCAGGGTTTTTTTGGGGAGGTTCAGGGTTTTGGTTCAGGGTTTTTTTGGGGAGGTTCAGGGTTTGTTGGGGAGGTTCGGGTTTTGGTTCAGGGTTTTGTTGGAGCAGTTCAGGGTTTTGTTGGGGAGGTTCAGGGTTTTGGTTCAGGGTTCTGGTTCAGGGTTTTGTTGTGGAGGTTCAGGGTTTTATTGGGGAGGTTCAGGGTTTGTTGGGGAGGTTCGGGTTTTGGTTCAGGGTTTTGTTGTGGAGGTTCAGGGTTTGTTGGGGAGGTTCAGGGTTTTTTGGGGAGGTTCAGGGTTTTTTGGAGAGATTCAGGGTTTTGGTTCAGGGTTTTGGTGGAGCAGTTCAGGGTTTTTGTTGGGGAGGTTCAGGGTTTTGGTTCAGGGTTCTGGTTCAGGGTTTTGTTGTGGAGGTTCAGGGTTTTGTTGGAGAGGTTCAGGGTTTTGGTTCAGGGTTTTGTTGAGAGGTTCAGGGTTTTGGTTCAGGGTTTTTTGGGGAGGTTCAGGGTTTTATTGGGGAGGTTCAGGGTTTTGGTTCAGGGTTCTGGTTCAGGGTTTTGTTTTGGAGGTTCAGGGTTTTGTTGGAGAGGTTCAGGGTTTTGGTTCAGGGTTTTGTTGGAGAGGTTCAGGGTTTTGGTTCAGGGTTTTTTGGGGAGGTTCAGGGTTTGGTTCAGGGTTTTGGTTCAGGGTTTGTTGGAGAGGTTCAGGGTTTTGGTTCAGGGTTTTTTGGGGAGGTTCAGGGTTTGGTTCAGGGTTTTGTTGGAGAGGTTCAGGGTTCTGGTTCAGGTTTTGTTGGGAGGTTCAGGGTTTTATTGGGAGGTTCAGGGTTTTGGTTCAGGGTTTTTTGGGGAGGTTCAGGGTTCTGGTTCAGGGTTCTGGTTCAGGGTGTTGTTGGGATGTTCAGGGTTCTGGTTCAGGGTTTGTTGGAGAGGTTCAGGGGTTTTTTTAGGGAGGTTCAGGGTTTTGGTTCAGGGTTCTGGTTCAGGTTTTGTTGGAGAGGTTCAGGGTTTTGGTTCAGGGTTTTGTTGGAGAGGTTCAGGGTTTTGGTTCAGGGTTTTGGTTCGGGTTTTGTTGGAGAGGTTCAGGGTTTTGGTTCAGGGTTTTTGTTGGAGAGGTTCAGGGTTTTGGTTCAGGGTTTTTGGGGAGGTTCAGGGTTTTGGTTCAGGGTTTTGGTTCAGGGTTTTGGTTCAGGGTTTTTTGAGAGATTCAGGGTTTGGTTCAGGGTTTTGTTCAGGGTTTTGTTGTGGAGGTTCAGGGTTTTATTGGGGAGGTTCAGGGATTTGTTGGGGAGGTTCGGGTTTTGGTCAGGGTTTTGTTGGAGCAGTTCAGGGTTTTTGTTGGGAGGTTCAGGGTTTTGGTCAGGGTTCTGGTTCAGGGTTTTGTTGTGGAGGTTCAGGGTTTTATGGGGAGGTTCAGGATTTGTTGGGGAGGTTCGGGGTTTTGGTTCAGGGTTTTGTTGTGGAGGTTCAGGGTTTTGTTGGGGAGGTTCAGGGTTTTTGGGGGGTTCAGGGTTTTTTGAGAGATTCAGGGTTTTGGTTCAGGGTTTTGGTGGGAGCAGTTCAGGGTTTTTGTTGGGGAGGTTCAGGGTTTTGGTTCAGGGTTCTGGTTCAGGGTTTTGTTGTGGAGGTTCAGGGTTTGTTGGAGAGGTTCAGGGTTTTGGTTCAGGGTTTTGTTGGAGAGGTTCAGGGTTTGGTTCAGGGTTTTTTGGGGAGGTTCAGGGTTCTGGTTCAGGGTTTTGGTTCAGGGTTTGTTGGAGAGGTTCAGGGTTTGGTTCAGGGTTTTTTGGGAGGTTCAGGGTTTTGGTTCAGGGTTTTGTTGGAGAGGTTCAGGGTTCTGGTTCAGGTTTGTTGGGGAGGTTCAGGGTTTATTGGGAGGTTCAGGG